ATTCTGTAAATCTTTTATAAAAGATTAATGTGGCGGAGGGGCTATCAAATGGAGCAAATTATTACACAATTGAAAGACAACACCGAAACACAACTATACATACTTTACATTTCAATGGATCCACATTTTACTCGTCGCCAGCTTCGTAGTGCTAAAGAGGCCATCAACTCGGTCTTTGATAGAATACCAATATGGTGAAATCTCCAATAATGGATAAATCTCCTTAAATGATTTATAAAAAATAAATCAATTAATTAATTACTTTTATAAAATGAAAAATTATTTATCTATATTAAAAACTCAGTGAGAAAATAAAAATAAAAATAAAAGGCAGGCCTCATATATTAATTGGGCCAGACCAGTCAATGCAACAGAAAGAAAAGAAGCAGCTTCGGGCTTTTGAAGGAAAAACTAAAAAGAGAGAGCAAGGGGTTTTAAGAAAAAGAAAGGGAGCAGCTGTAGTATTTGCATGCAAACACACAAAAAAAAAAGAGGCTGTCAACTTACTTGTTTACTTATCATTTATCAATATAGCCAAGACATCGGGAGTTTCATGGGTTTCAGAGATGTTACATATTTATGCAGAGAGATCGAATCGACAAGAAGTTATGTGCCCCGGTTATTTATGCAGAGGGGTCGGCGTCACGAGAAGTTCCGCACCACGATTATTTTCGCAAAGAGATTAGCTTGAAGAGAAACTTAGTGCCCTAGTACGGAGATCGAAAAGGCTCAACGAGAAGCTCTGCGCCCCAGGTACATAAGTTAGGTTATGTTTGGTAAGCCAAATAAGCTAACTTATAGTTTATTTGGTTAGCTTATAAGCTTCATGTATTCAAATAAGTCTTGTTTGGTAGGACGAACTTTTTTAAAAAACTCGAGCTTATCTCATAAACTACTTTAGATAACTTTTCAAATAAGTTAGTTAAATTTTTTATTTCAGCTAGCTTATCAGCTAATTTTACCAAACACTTTTATCATATAAGCTAGCTTTTCAGCTATAAGTCATAAGTTATAAGCTATAAGCTAAAAAATTACATATAAGCTACAAGTTAGCTTATCAGCTATCACCTAACTTATCAGCTAGTGTTACCAAACATTGCCTTAATCCCTACTCTTTATGATGGTCAAGTTCAGCTATTATGATAAGTTTTTTGAAATTATTTTTTGGAGAGAAGTATCACTTGCTTGCATATCTTTGGTAAAACGCAGGTTTAGAAAGAGAAGAGAAGGGGGTCACAGGTTTAAAAAGAGAAGCCCAAGTTGTTAACTCGAGGGTCAAATATTCGTTAAGTGGCAAAACCTCGAGTAGTTTGCTTGAAAGCCAAGTATTTACTGAGTAAAAGAACCTCGAGTTCCTCATGTAATATTCTCTTATACAGTTTCTTAATAAAAAAACTCCGGAGCATCATTCTCTTTGCCGATCGTCAACATCTATATATCCATTTTCATAAATTTGTCCATATCTTCATGAGATTCATTAAGATTACTTACACCATAAATATATTGTTGCCCGCAATAAAACCGCTTAATTTATATCTACAATAAGCGTTGGCGATCGACCGTCAACATAAATAAAATCCGAACGACTTCTATCTAGAGGTGGTCATTGGATAGGGTTAGCCAATTGACTAGCTGATCTGAGCCCCGTGACTAGGCTTTCTAGCTAAAATTGGAATCGGGCTCGTGTGGTTTCAACAAGCTTTTAAAAAATTGACTCAATGGGTTCGAGCCAACCTTGACTAACCCCACCCATTGGGTTTGATGTAAGAAATTTTAAACTTTAAAATTTTGATTTGCGTTGTCTTCGACTATAATTTAACATTGGACGTTGGATCTTCTATTTGATGCAAAAATCGAGCTCGGCTCGTTACATAAACGAGCCTAAGGAAGAAAACAATTACAACTCCTTTTACTTGTCCGGCCTACCTTGTTCGAGCCTTAACGAGTCGAGCTAGAGTTTTAACGAACCGAACTATAAAAAATTAAATAAAAAAAATCTTTTCAAACTTTAACACTCATTAAAGCCTCGAACTCAAGTCGAACTCGAGCCTTAGCAAGCTGAGCCTAGCCGAGTTTAATTTAATAGAACTCGAGCCTTAGCAATCTGAGCCTAGCCGACTTTAATTTAATAGCACTAGTTAAGGTAAAACCTCATCTACACGCTCGACTCCAACTCTAGTGCTGCTATAATAGAGACTGAAGAGTTTTGATCTCCTTCACCAGCATCTAACTTTTCTCTTAGATCTGTTTCTTCTGTTCGTTTTCTCCTTCTAGATAGGGAAATCGCTTAGGAGCACGACGCCATGAAGATGGCGATTAGGGTTTTTCTGCTCTTCATCGTCTTTGTATTATTCTGTTACCCCACCTTTTCTCTGTACGAAGACCAAGTTGGGCTCATGGATTGGTATCCTATCAAACTCCAATTTTTCTTTACTGCGCGTGTATATATATACATTAGTACCACGCGGTTCTATTTAGGATGATTCGTGATTGAATTTTCTGCAATTATGTAGGCATCAGCAGTACTTGGGCAAACTGAAGCACGCAGTTTTCCACACTCAGAAGGCGGCGAGGAAGCGCGTGATCGTCTCCACTGAGGAAAACGTCTTAGCTTCGCTTGATCTTCGCCATGGAGAAATTTGTACGGCTGTCACCCCTTTTTTTTTTTTCGAAATTCATTGGAAGTCTTGATTTTACTTTTTAAGTAATGATTTGATTTTGGTGCAGTCTGGAGGCATGTTTTGGGGCCGGATGATGTCATCGATCAGATAGACATTGCGCTTGGAAAATGTAAGCCTTCAATTCTCTTTATGTTTTTTTTGTGTTCTTGTGCAGAGAAATTTGTTCAATCTGTTATTGGGGTTTGCTGGTTTCTTAATCGTTACAAGCGAGCTGATTGAAGGACTGGTAGTACAAAGATTGAATTTTGGATGGTTTCTATTAGTTGGATTACCAAATCTTTTATTCTGTTGACAAGAATTGGAAAAAAGGGACTCACTGAATTTGATCAGCATGATATAAATTTACTCGACAATGTGAGATGGATATATGGTTCTTAGATAGATATTTCTGCATGTTTGCAGATGTTATTAGTTTGTCTTCAGATGGATATATGGTTCTTAGATAGATATTTCTGCATGTTTGCAGATGTTATTAGTTTGTCTTCAGATGGATATATGGTTCTTAGATAGATATTTCTGCATGTTTGCAGATGTTATTAGTTTGTCTTCTGGAGGAAGTGTCCTAAGAGCTTGGAACCTTCCTGATGGCCAGATGGTGTGGGAATCATCACTTCCAGGCTCAAAGCCCTCAAAGCCGTTTTTGCTAATTCCAGTGAGTGAAAAGTGATACCTTTTGATTAAGTCAGCCCACAAGCTGTATTATTGGTCTTTGATTGCTTAACTCGTACTAAAAAAATTATTTGTTATACGTGAAAGTGCATTTTGGAAACAATTCAGTCAATGTACAACCTTGGTACTAAACACTTATGTTCTCTGGGTTTATGTTATCATTAGACTGCATTATGATGTAGGGAATGGATTAAAGTTACCTTGATTGCCTTCTTAACTGGTGTAGTATTGAAACTCATCGAGGAATAGAGATAGTCCTACCTTTCAACATATTACCCTTGATGCTGTTTTTGTTCCCTAATCACTGGTCATTCCAATAAGAAAAAGTTGTAAGCGTGGCTTAATAAACCCAAGAGATGCTATATGTCATCTCTACTTTTTGATACATGTCATGTGAAGAAGATTGTATTTTCTGTCTTTACAACTCTATTTTGCATCGATTCACTTCAACAGTATGCTGGAAGTAGACATAATATATAGATATTGTTTGGTGCAGACAAATCTGAAGGTTGGGAAGGACAACGTACTCTTTGTTTATGGTAATGGTTTTATTCATGCCGTGGCAAGCATTGATGGCGAGATAATCTGGAAAAAGGAGTTAGCTTCTGAAGAGTATGATCGCATTAAATTCTTTCTTTTCTTGTCATATTATTCCATTTTCCGAGCATTGGCTGATTTCTCATCTTATTGCAGCACTGATGTCCAACAGTTAATTTATCCAGATGGAAGTGATACGTTATATGCCGTAGGTTTGCATGGTTTCTCACAGTTTAATGTTTATCAAGTTGATGTCAAGAGTGGTGAGCTTCTGAAGCATTACAACATGTTGTTCCCCGCTGGATTTTCTGGAGACTTTTCATTTGTTACAGATGACACAGTAGTGGCATTTGATTCTACTGGAACAACTATAGTCACTGTACTTTTCCAAAATGGGGAAATTATCCATCACGAGACACATGTTTCTCAACTCATTCAGGATTTTTCAGGAACACCTGTTATATTACCCTCGAAAATTGCTGGATTGTTTATTTTAAAACATGGTAGTTCTTTTACCTTTATTAAGGTTAACACTGATGGCAAGTTGAAGGTTGAGGGAAAAATTAACCATGCTAATGCTGTCAGTGATGCTCTTTCTCTTTCGGATGGTCGACAAGCTTTTGCCTTGGTTCAGCATGAAAATGGTAAGATTCTCCTGACTGTAAAGCTCGGTAATGATTGGGCATCAAGTTTAGTTGAGGAAACAACTCAGATGGATAGTCGGAGGGGACTTGTGCATAAGGTTTTTCTCAATAGCTATATACGGACAGACCGGTCAAATGGATTCAGGGCTTTGATTGTCATGGAAGACCATTCGTTGCTACTGTTGCAGCAAGGTGAGATTGTATGGACTAGGGAAGACGGACTAGCTTCCATCATAGATGTTAAAGCTTCAGAGTTACCAGTTGAGAAAGATGGTGTGTCCGTGGCAAAAGTGGAACACAACCTGTTTGAATGGCTTAAGGTGAGAAGCATTTCAAATTAACCGAGCTTCTTCGTTTCTAGTTCTATGGTGGCGTCGTTTGTTTTTTTTTTTTCTTTACTCTTTTAGCTTTTACCTTGGGTCGCTACGGAAACAGCCTCCTTGTATAATTACAAGGGTAAGGTCTGCGTACAACTGACCCCCCAGACCCCAACCTGTTGGGAATATACTGGGTATGTTGTTGTTGTTGTACTCTTTTAGCTTTTAATTAACATGTTGTGCATATTAGTCGTGTGTCACGGGGGTTTGTATTTTTCCTGCTACACATAAAATAGCAGAAGTGCAGAACATAAGAGACACCTTGAGAATTTTGATTAGAATTTGGATGACATGTCATAGTATTTCAAATTGGACTTCATTACAACAACAACAACAACAACATAGCCTTTTAGTCCCAAGCAAGTTGGGGTAGATAAATTGGACTTCATTGATTTATCAAATTTACTTTATGGTATCACATCTGAGCAAAAACCTTTTTCGCATAATAGTAGTTGAAGTCAATGGACTACGACAGGAACTGATAAATTGACATGCTAATGTTGTGTTTCATATCTTAGTTAAGTGGGGAAGAGTGATCTGATTAGTCATTTGTTCTATTTATCCTCTTCCATAGGGACATTTGTTGAAGCTCAAAGGAACTCTGATGATAGCTACCACTGATGAAGTGGCAGCCATACAGAAAATACGTTTGCAAAGCTCTGAGAAAAGCAAGATGACTCGGGACCGAAATGGCTTCAGAAAGCTTCTCATAGTACTTACACGAGCGGGAAAACTCTATGCGCTTCACACTGGTGATGGAAGGATTGTGTGGTCTCTTTTACTGAATTCTCTTCGCAAGTCAGAAACATGTGAAAACCCTAGAGGAATTAGCTTGCATCAATGGCAGGTCCCTCACCATCATGCACTGGACGAGAATCCATCTATTCTGGTTGTTGGAAGATGTGAGTCAACTTCCAATTCTCCTGGAGTTCTCTCTATTGTCGACACATACACAGGGGAGGAGCGCAACCATATGGGACCCACACATTCAATTGTTCACATTATTCCCTTGCCTTTCAGTGATTCTATTGAACAACGCTTGCATTTGCTGTTGGATTCAAATGGACAAGTTCACTTATACCCAAGAACTGCCGAGGCTCTTGGCATTTTTCAGCGGGAGTCGGGGAATATATATTGGTACTCAGCTGAAACCGATAAAAATGTTCTACGGGGTCACGGATTGCAAAAACAATGTGTTCTTGAGGTGTCAGATGAATTCTGTTATGATTCAAGGGTTCTATGGACGATTGTGTTGCCGTCAGAATCGGAAACGATTATTGCAACTGCTACCAGGATTTCAAATGAGGTGCTTCGTTTTGTCTTTTATTGTTAGAGCATAAGAATTTTTTGTGATCGTACATGACTGGTGTTCATATCATAAATTTTTCATATAATTTTCTAACTTTTGATAGATGAGTGATGGTTTGAGTGAGTTCAGTGCTTGAGCTTACGATTTGTGCCTAAATTTTGTAATTGAAATGGCGTTAATGCTCCTGCTTATGTCTGGTAAAATTTTAAACTTGTCTCTACCATGGTTAACTATACATCTTCCATTTTATCATGAACCTGTAATGGTCTTCAGTTGTTTTAAACCTTTTGGTACCTGATGATTTTCTTTCTTTAAATTCACCACACATGGTTTTCCTTTCTGCTTTAGGTTGTTCATACTCAAGCTAAGGTGACAGCAGATCAGGAAGTGATGTACAAATACACGTCGAAGAATATTCTATTTTTGGCTACCGTTACACCTAAAGCTGTTGGTCCTATTGGTTCAGTTACCCCAGACGAGTCATCTGTAGTTGTTTATGTGATTGACACTGTAACAGGTCGTATACTGCACCGAATGACCCATCATGGTTCACAGGGTCCAGTACATGCTGTAAGCATCCCATCTATTATAACCATATTTGAATTTCTTTTATAAAAATTTACCCTTTTTAATCCCTCTTAATTGCGGAAACTGAATACTGAATAGTTGGTTTTACTTTTTAAAGGTCTTTAGCGAGAATTGGGTTGTCTATCACTACTTCAATCTAAGGGCACACAGATATGAGATGTCTGTCATTGAACTCTTCGACCAAGCTCGTGCGGTAATATCATCTACTGAGTCTTTTCCATCTCTTTATCTTTCTTTTGGTTTTTTGGAAAAAAAAAAAAAGAAAAAAGAAAAAAAATCTCCAGGGTCTTTACATTCTTAATTTTTCACTAATTGCAGGAGAATAAAGATATCTTGAAGCTTGTTCTTGGGACGCATAATCTTACTTCTCCAGTAACAGCTTACTCTCGGCCAGACGTCTTCACAAAGTCACAGTCTTATTTCTTACCACATTCTGTAAAAACCATAGCTGTAACATCCACAGCCAAAGGCATAACTTCAAAGCAGGTTCTTCTTGGCACAATTGGTGATCAGGTCAGCCTCTTAATAACCAGCTCTGATATTAACAGGTTCAATCATGTAATCATATTCAACTTTTTTATCTGTTAACAGGTTTTGGCCCTTGATAAACGCTTTTTGGATCCCCGGAGAACACTTAATCCGACTCAGGCCGAGAAAGAGGAAGGAATTATTCCTCTCACGGATTCCTTACCAATTATTCCTCAGGTGATCGACTCGTTCTTCCTTTTTTGTTCATTTTATTGTTATTATTATTATTTATTTATTTATTATCAAGAGCTTGTGCTAGTTTAATCTATAGTATTTGAATCCTAATGTCTTTTCCATTTCTGCAGTCATATGTGACACATGCTCTTAAGGTAGAAGGTCTGAGAGGGATAGCCACAGTCCCGGCTAAGCTCGAGTCAACCACCCTCGTTTTTGCCTATGGCGTGGATTTGTTTTTCACCCAACTGGCACCTTCTAGAACATACGACTCTCTTACTGAGGATTTTAGCTATGCCCTGCTACTGATCACGATTGTTGCCCTGCTAGTGGCCATTTTTGTTACATGGGTATGGTCGGAGAATAAAGATCTTCAGGAAAAATGGAGATGAGTTGAATAAGCTGTTCGAAGATCCCCATTTTGGCTCAGAAGAAAGGGAAAAGAAAAATAAAGGGCTCAATTATCCTCAAAATTGCCTGAGAAACTTGCTTTGAAGTGAACTTGCTTGCTACATCCACTTAATTCTTGGAGCAAATGTTGTATATTCGGAATGAAGGGTTAAAAGTTGCAAGATTCAGAGAATTAGTCCTACTTTTCATAGTTTTTCATTTCCAACGAGCAAAATGTTGTTCCGGTAGAATTTACTTTATTCACGATGATATTGTTTTTGGATTTCTTTTTCTTTTGGGTTACCCTCAGCGTAGCAATTTCTGATTTGTTAAAACTTTAGTTTTATGTACGTTCGCTGATTTGTTAAAACTTTAGTTTTATGTACGTTTGCTTCAGCTTAATCATCGAAAGACTTTTCTTATCAGTTGGCTGAAGATTTTCGTAACGTGATTTCCTAGTGTGGATCGGTGACACCAAATGTGAAATGTCACATGCCATCCATCGGGAGAGAACACCATAAAGAAAATGACCAATGCTCCTTAGAGTTGTTAAACGAAACGGGCGAGCTCAGCTCAAAGACTTGAGTTCAGTTTGGCTCGATTGATAATGGAGTGGAGATATAAGTCATTTAAACAAATGGGTAAATCATTTTTTTCGTTTGTACCCGAATGTTCTTGCCGAAGTAGCGAGAAATGCCCTCGAGAATGGCTAGGCTCAACCTCCATTTGGATTCTATCTTGGCGAATTTTGTGGTGATTTTCGAGACTCGTGACCCGTGACGTGGACCTGCGAATGTGGCTGCACCGGATCGAGACCGCGACACGCGACAAGTCTCCGTGACCGTCCATTCGCGACTTGTTCTGCGACTCGCGTCGTTTGATTTATGGTTTTGTTTGGTTTGAGCTGAGCAACCGACTTGTGGTTTGACTCTCATTATTTTGACTTGCGAGTGAGGAACCGAGCTTGTGGTTGCTCACCTGGCATTTTGTTTGCCGTTCATCGGTCGTTGTAACGCCATTTTTTATCTATAAATTTATCATTTATCGATAAAAAAAAAACATAAATTGAAATTCAGTGTTAATGTCATTTCACAATTTTTTTTTTCCGACTTATCTTCAATAAAACTTTGTTCATTTGTTTATTTTTTATATATTTTTTCTATATATTAATTTAAAATATGTTGAGCCTAAACTGCATAAATTTGTATTTCGTATTGACACAACAAATTGATTTCAACACCTAGGCTAGGGAATTACCATATATAAAACTATTTTATCTTTTATTTTAATAAATTACTTTATATTTCTTAAATTATCATATATTACATTTTTAAGTTCATTATTAATTATGTTTAAATATATATTATTCCTTTTTATAATAATTTAAGAAAAAATATTATTTTTATTTTATTTTCCATATATGATATAATAAATTAATCATTTTTAATGTCTTTTGATTTGACATTCATATTATATACAATATGAAATAATTTCATTCTTAGCAACTTTTGATTTGTAAAACTTTAGTTTTATGTATGTTCGCTTCAACTTAATCATCGAAAGGATTTTCTTATCGGAAGATTTTCTTAACGTGATTTCCTAGTGTGGGCCGGTTACACCAAATGTCACATGCCATCCAACGGGAGAGATTGCCGTAAAGAAACTTACCAATGATACTTAGAGTTAGAACGCAATGGGTGAGCTCAGTTTGTTAAGGCTTGAGTTCAGTTCAACTCATTTGATAATCGAGTAGAGATACAAATCATTTAAATCTTATTAGGTTAAAAGTTGGGTGGGCTTGTTAAGGCTTGCCTCTCTCAAGCGCAGAGATTTCTACATAAATCCATGCACTCTTTTAAGCCAGCCCCTCTCAAGGATAGAGATTTCTATGTAAATCCATGTACTCTTAACTAGCCCGGTTTAAGAATAGATATTTTTACATAAATTCATGCAGTTTTAGAGCACCTTCAATGGTGAAGTAAGTTATCTAATATTTATTGAGATATGAATTTGACGTTGACTAAAAATAAAACTAATTGAAATACACTCTTTAATGCTAATGTGTCATTCTTTAGTAGGATTTGCATCGATAAATTAATTAATAATCAAATGACTAAATCATTTTTTTTTCAACATGTACTATATATTTTGAGATTTACAGCCTACAATAATTTTCGTGGTAAAATGCAACATGAACTCCACGAGAATTCATAATTTACATACTCGCCTACATCATAACCATACATGTATCTATTTTTGCGATGATTGTATGATCAATAACTAAGTGAGCACAAATTATAAATATTCATGAATTTTAAGTTACATTTAACCACAACAAACATTATAGGTTGCAAATATCAAAAGGACTTATAGTATACACTGAACCAATATTTAACCTGAACCAATACATAAATTGAAACTTCATAACCTTTCACTACTAATTATGTCATCTTCACAATTTTTCCCCCCACCAATCTTCAATAAAACTTTCTTCTTTTATTTATTTGTTTATATATTTATTCTAATATTAATTTAAAACGTGTTGAACCTAAATTGCAGGTCGCACGCTTCGAAAGATTATTTGCCATAAATTTATATTTTGTATTGAGACATGTGCAAGTTGGTTCTAACACATAGGTTAGGGAATTACCATATATAACACAATTTATCTTTTGTTTTTAATAAATTACCTATATTACCTTTCGGTTTTTTAAATTACAATATATAACATTTTTTAGTTTATATATTAATTATTTATTAATATGTATTCTTCTTTTTTATAACAATTTAAGAAAAAATATTTTATATTTCATATATGATATATTAAATTAATTATTTTTAACGATCTTTAATTTGACATTCATACTATATACAATGTGAATAATTTCATTTATCCTTATAAATAAAATTTAAATTTATTTACGGAAAACCAATTTGAGAATTATCAAATTTAACTTTAAAATATTATGTAAAATTAAATAAAATTATTAGTATACCATAAAATAATCATTTTAGTGAATTGTAGATAGTATTTATTTAGATAAATACAATTTTATAAACGTAATTAAAAAATTATTATTATTGATAAATTATGTGTTAAACACGGGTTTTACTAAATAATATCACTTGATAGTGTTTTTATTATTTATTATACATTTATTGTTTATAATTTAACATTATGAATATGAATTATTTTAATTATTTTTTGTTGTAAAATATCAATTTTGTCAAATACCCGTGTAGTGCATGAATATCGCACTAGTAAAAATTATATGAAGTTATCGATTTTCATCTATCACTTAATTTTTGGTTTTTATTTTGGTGGAAATTTGAATTTTGATTTGCATAAGCTTTTTTCTTTCTTATAAGTTTTGAACACGTTGCAATTTGACATAATAATTTTTTTTAGTTAGTCACGATTTATTTTTAATTCAAATTCATAATGAAAACGATTTTTTTTCATATAAAATATTATTTATTTTATAAATATCATTTTTTATTTTTATTTTTTTAAATTTTACCGCAACTTTTGGCATTTATGAATTTATTATTGACTAATATATTACCATGGGGTTTGCTGAAAATTTACGCCGACTTCTAATTTCGTACCTTTCTTCACACCGGCGTAAATCCACGCACAATATTTATAAAGATCGAAGGGATCCTACAGTGANATATTTAACCTTTTAGTGGTATTTCGTTGATTGATGAGGTAAAGATCCAAGATTTTCAAGCTAACTGTATTTCTCTTAGACGTAAGAGACTAACTTCAGGTTTTTATTGTTAGTTTAAATATTGACCCTGGTTAGGAATTTGAATTGCCGTGTTCTTTGAAATGTTACCTTTCCGTGCTGAAGGTATGCATTCTAGAATCTGCCACCTGCCTTTTATTTTATTATATGATCTGATTAGTTAATCGGAGTAATGTTGACAGAATATGGAAGTGTTATTGAAGATGGGAAAGTTCACTGGGATAACCTCTGAATTAGCCATACCGGCCGACCCTTCAACCTACATTCCAATTCAAAAGCGGCCACCTATTACAGCACAAGTAATTATTGGCACACCTGGCACAATATGTAAATGGATGCAAGCAAGGAAACTCGCCATGACCCAAATGAAGATTCTTGTGTTTGATGAGGCAGACCACATGTTGGCAGAGGTAATCCCTGGTTTATAAATTATGTTAGAAATTCAAATAACCTGTGTGCCCTCCATCTTTTGTTGTTTAGTGATTTCAGAAGTAACATGTACGAAGCATCGTAGCTATTTGCTTGCGAACTTAGTTAAAACATTGAAATGCCGCCCTTTCCCTTCATACTTGTCCATTTTAGAAAGTGATTCTTTGTCAGAATTCCAGTGTTCGGCTTGCGTGTCTTGTGCAACTTAATCATGTACTTGTTGACATAACATTTAACTGAGAGGATATTTAAGTGGAAATTCTATGTCTCAAAACTTATGTTAGTGATGTGCGTGAAAGCTAAGTCCACCCTGGTTTTGGATTTTCTTATTTTGTTTGTTTTTTTAGTAAACAAACTAGAGGCACATAAAAAGTATGATTTTCAGTTGTGTTTAAATGTAAGTTCTGTCTTAATCGTAGAGTGGTTTTCGAGATGATTCAGTGAAGATAATGAAGACGATTGTAAAAGGCAATTCGAGTTGCCAGGTAAGCTAACTATCAGTTATCTTTTCATAACTATGTTTGCCATTTTGGATAATGTGCTTATTTGAGAATAAAAGATGTCGAATTCTTTGATGTCAATATTATTAATGGCTGATGGCGGTAAATGGTGGCAGGACAAAATCCACCATAGCGCCCGCCATGGTGACCGCCGTGGCGGCCTATGGCGCTGCCTTAACCACCATCCTTCATGAATTTTAGCATGGCAGTTTGTCACAATCATTGCTGACAAATTTAAAAGGACTTGTTAATGGAAAAAAATTAGGTATAAGGTTTATTTTTCATGACTGTTTTTCAATTTTTGTTTATATGAGGTGTCTAGTTATGTTTCTCTAGTGATTTTTCATTTGCCCACCCTTGTATATTTGTATACTATATTTTTCTAAAACCAAAAGTGAACAGTGATTGGTTTGGGGTACATTAAATAAATGTAAATGATGGTGACATGACCTGCTAGGACGACAACTGGTAGGTGGGAACTTGAGGAACTTCTTAACAAAAGCTATCTTTAACATGTGGGAAAAGAAAATTGCCAATTTTGTGTTATTAATTTGTTACACTGACAAGTTAAATATTAAACCCTCCACTGTTCTTTATTTCGTAAGGTAAATGAGTAATATAAATTAAAATCATCATGAAGTCATGCACTTGAAGCATATTTTTACGTGAAAGAAGATATATCAAACATCGTTGAACCTTGTTGGCAGCTTGATCCCTGTTTATGGCTTGCATGGTTAACATTTTCTTGTAAAAAATTGTGTTCAGGTCCTTCTGTTCTCAGCTACCTTTGATGATGCTGTCCGAGCTTTTGTGTCTAAAATAGTTGAGGAGATTTTTGTCCGAGACTATAATCAGATGTTTGTCAAAAAGGAAGAACTATCTTTGGAATCCGTTAAACAGTATAAGGTCCATGTTCCGGATGAGCTTTCCAAAATCATGGTGATCAAAGACCAGATACTCGAACTCGGAGAAAAGGTGGGGCAGACAATTGTATTTGTTCGGTCCAGGAACAATGCTGCAATGTTGCACAAATCTCTAGTCGAAATGGGTTACGAGGTCACCACAATCCAAGGTGCTTTGAAGCAAGAAGATAGGGATAGAATTATAAAAGAGTTCAGGGATGGGTTGACTCATGTTCTAATTTCTACCGACCTTCTGGCTCGAGGCTTTGACCAGCAACAGGTCCCTAAACAAATTTTGCTGTCACTCCACCTTTCATTTCTTTATCACTTAGTATCATCCCTATGGTGATTGTTTATTTGTTAATATATTTAATTTGTTTCTTTATATCAGGTTAATTTGGTCGTCAATTATGATCTTCCCGTGAGATATGATAGACCCACTGAACCTGACTACGAAGTTTACCTGCATAGGGTTGGTAGAGCAGGACGCTTTGGCCGCAAAGGTAATTTTGTGGTCCATGTGGGTTTTTTTCTTTTCATAATCAATTTGACGTGTTTGGTAATTTCAGTATGGTAATATAGCCAATTTTTACTCTGTATCTGGAAGATGATCTCTCTCTCTCTCTGCCTCTTCCAAAGTATATTTGGACCTTATATCTAAGTGTTATTTACACGTGTCTAGATGTGTAGTTTCAGTATTTGTCTAGATCGTGGACAGCATATATCTTTCGCTTTGCCTTTTATTTTTATTTTTATTTTTATTAATTTTTTAAGATGACTGTATAGAATGTTGTACATGAGCAGGTGCAGTGTTTAACTTGCTTTGTGGCGACCGAGATGACCTGGTCATGGGGAAGATTGAGAAATACTTCAACACGCAAATAGCCGAGGTACATGGCTTTTGCATGATTTTTAAAGTATTGTAACTTGAGCAGAAAATTATTCGTCTTTCAAGAATCGAGATATATGAGTTTTGGTAAAGTATGCTCTCTATGAATTGCAGGTAAGCCAGTGGAATAGCGCTGAGGAATTTCGAGTAGCTCTGAACAATGCTGGTCTACTATGAGTTTGATTTTGTTCTTTATTTGTGTACCGACCACCGTGTGATACATTCGGTGTCAGCTTTTATGTCGTGAACAACCGATTTCAAAATCTCCCTACTGGATAGATACAGTTCTATATATTTCTGTCTTGGGACTTGAAATTTAATAGAACTTCGTCGGTATTTATTTATTTTTTGGTTTGTGGGGATGAGATGTGATTTCTATTGCTACGAACTGATATATCTGCTGCTTTTGAGTAGTTGAGTGTGTTTTTGAGGTCGAATGGAGTTTTGCTATCAGACTTGTCCCAACATCTCACGAGTGGATATTTTATCAATTGAGTTGAATTCATATGGCAATTAGCAATTGGCCAATCCATGAGTATACATGAAGTTATAAAGGTTGTACCTGTGAACGAACCGGAAAGTGGATGACATATATTACAACGGGCAATTTACATGTATACTTAATTGATTGATAAATAATTGTAAAAATACTAAATGAAAAACGTATTTGCACATTTACCTAACCTACCATAAATATTTAGATAAATACTACATATTAAAAGTATTTTCTCTCCTCTCTCCTACATATTAAAAGCATTCTCTCTCCTCTCTCATCCTAACAATTCTCGTTTATTACTCTCTTTCTTATTCCACATACTATTCATCCGTTTTTTTTTTCCTTATCTTCTCCATAATATTCTCCTTCTCTCCTCTCTCTTCTCTTTATTCCATTCAATTTAAATTTAATTATCTTTTCATGTAAATTCTATAACAAATTTTTTAGTTTATATTTAGTATATGTTACAACGAAGTATATGTTGAGTATAGAAGTCAGTATAAATTCTCATGTCCTGAATGACCAGTATATATTGAGTTTATATTTAGTATATGTTACAATATTCTCTTAATATTTAGTATATATATAGTACATATTTTGTATATGTTGTTGTCCCTACGTATATGTTACAATATTCTCTTAATATTTAGTATATATTTAGTACATATTTAGTATATGTTGTTGTCCCAAAGCGTAGGGGAGCGAGACAGCAGCGTCCACGAAACAACCAAAGCATGGACAAATTGTGTCAGAATTGTCCACGGTACTGGTTATAGTTCTGAATCGTTTTTGTCTAGCAATATCCCACTGCAAGACAAAAATTTTTTAAAAAATAATAATAAAAATAAAAATAAAAAATAGAAAAAAAAAAGAAAAAGAAAAATTGAATAAACCTTATTCCTTTAGCTTCGGAAACCAAAGCATGGACAAATTGTGCCAGAGTTAAATTGCACCCAATTGAACAAGGAAAAAACCAACCTGGATCCATAGCTAGTTTAATGGCAAAACACATTAAATGGTGAAACTCGCAGAAAAGGATTGAGGTCCTCAAACAGATTGTTGTCAACATTCCCAAGAATAAAATTGCAAATAGAATAACAAGAAAGTAGGCACCAAAATCTATAGCTTATTTGTTCCACATCACACCCGTACATATGATTTCAAATGAGTAAAAGACTAGTGTAGAAAAAAAAATTGGGATAAGGGAGAACAAAGTGACTATAAACCTCCTAATAATTTATCAAATTCAAATGAATGGAGCACACATGAACGAAACATATGCAATTTCTCAACATATGGTTCTTCTATGACTCTCTTAACTGTTTCTAATATAGGTGCATATTTTCATGTTCAAATGTTATATATTAAACTTCAATATAAGCATGATATTTTAAAGAGTGGCATTTTTCATATGGTCATTCTATGTTTGCAGTGTGCCATTACAAAATAAAATATGGTGCTAGCAAATTAATAATTCAAACAAGGAAACACCTAATGCATGTGAAATCAATCACATTATCCACCGGAAGCTTATTCATAAAATAATAGGTTTTTGACTATACGGCATAATCATGATTTGTAAGATACAACATTCATGGTCTGCACGTCTTAAGTAGTGCCCTTCCACACCATATTCAAATCAGAATCTTAATTCACCCCTATATATATTCACAGAGAAACGGTATCTCAGTCTCAAATAATAGCAAAAACTACACGATGGGAGCAAATACTTTGTTGACTATTCTAGCATTGTCTCTTTTAGTGGCCTCAGTGGCCGGAAACAGCGATTTGGCCGGTCAGTTTTTCCATGTGACCGGCAAAGTCCTTTGCCAGGACTGTAACAAAGGCTGGAATGAATGGGTCAATGGAGCCAAGCCCATAAAAGGTAACACATCTAAACATTATATTATTATTTTAATTAACCACATGATTTAAACCTCAAAAAGCTACCAAAAAAATATTACATGTTTTGTTTAATTTACTTGCAGGCTGCAAGGTCTCAGTTACATGTCTGGACGACAGGAACAGGGCTGTGCACTACGCGAGTGACCTCACTGATGATGTCGGCGAATTTGACATCGCGTGTAATAAATTTGTAAACGGGAAAGAGCTAAAGCCCCAGAATTGCTTCTTGAGACTGGTCTCGTCACCCGATCCTGTCTGCAACATTGCCACCGACTTTTCGGGAGGGAAGACAGGTGTCAAGCTCAGCCACCCAGCCGTGGTTTATAGGGACCTGATTAAGTACGTGCTTGGCCCGTTTTATTACACCACGCCTATGTGTGATAAACCGGACACCAGCAGTCCTGATGAAGGTGATAGTGACGATAATGATGATGATGATGATGATGGCGGCAAAGAGAGAAACTATTAGTGCCTGCTTTTCCTTTTCAACTAT